AGGCCTACATAAGCCTTATTTATTTTTTCATCTCTATTATGGGGATAATACAAAGGATCATTATAAGGCTTAAATGAGAATTTATAAATGAATGTGCTAAGCAGTTTGAAGTATATTTAGAGTTTGCCCCCCCCATCAATTTCTAAATGTAAAATAACTGGATTAAAAGATGTTTAAAATGTATATGATTTGTCAGTTTATATCTTTATCACAGATGTTTATTAACTCAGTATTGTCTATCATTCTAGTAGGAAAAAACACTGATAGAATTAACACAAGCATGATATGCGATATTTTAGCATCCCTCTAAATAACTAGAACCATAAGAAAAAAGGAGTGAAATATTTGAACAATATAACAAATGAACCTAATTGATATGCATAGACTATTATACCCAGCATCTATAGAATACAGATTGTTTTCAAGTGTATATGGAAATCTTTCCCAAATTGATGCATACTAGATGATAGAAAAAAGTTGAAATAATTCTAAAGTGTGTACTCTGGACATACTGGAATTAAGCCAGAATCAATTATAAACAATGACAAAAAAATCTAGATAATTGTCAGCTGTTTGAAAATTAATACACTTCTTAGTTACTCAGGGATTAGGGGAAAAATTAAACTATTTTGAACTGAATGATGAAAATATGGCACGGTAAAACTGCTTAGAGTGTGTAGCCTTAAAATGCATGTATTAGACTAAAGATGTAAAATAATTGAAAGTACTGCTGAATAAAGATAGCCGAGTGAAAGATGCATTTACTGTTACTTAGTTTAATAGCCAGTGAAGGTGATAGTAAAAGATACTTTTTCTTTTTTTTTTTTTTTTTTTTGAAGACGACATACGAGATCCTGGTAGGTGACTGGAGTTCAGACGTGTGCTCTTCCGATCCTGCCTCTCTGCATTTCTGAATTTCTTTTTTTTTCCTCTTTCCTTTTTTTTTTTTTTTTTTTTTTTTCGGAACATGGGATTGAACTCAGGACTTTGTGCTTGCAAGGTAGGCGCAGTGCCACTGAGCTAAATCCCCAGCCCAAAGACATTTTTTTTTTGGTACTGGGGATCAAACTCAGCTCCTCGCCCTTGCGCAGCAGGCGGCAAAACCACTGAGCTAACCATCCCTGCCAAGACATTTTTAAAAGATGTGAATTGCATAGGTAAAAAGAATGGAAGAGGTAATTGCAGTAAAATTTAGAAGCTGAGAAGTAAGTGAACTAGTGGTAAATTTAGTAGATTTTAAAATGTTTGGTCCTAGGCTGGGCATGGTGATGCATGCCTGTAATCCTAGCCTGAAGGAGTCTGAGGCAGGAAGATGGCAAGTTTAAAGCCTTAATGGGCTACTTAGCGAGTTTGAGACCAGCCTGAAACATGGTAAAACTGTCTCAAAGAAAAAAAGTTCAGTTGAAAACTGGCACCAGCAAAGGTAGACAAGAATTCTCGGGCTCAGGAATGGGTAATATCAGGTATTTTGGGCAAGGAGGAAGTGAATGGTACTAAAAATAGGAAGATTTCTTGAAAAGTTGAAGTGTCTCACTGGGAAAGGTTTCTGGGTAAACACTGCACAATACGTTGTACAACGTATTCTCTGAATTTTTACATTATAGCCCTGGCTAAGGGATGCGTTAGTTTTACCTGTCATCTTTAGCTTTTTACTGTGAAAGCAATTACTTTTGCAATTAGAAAAATAGCTGGGCATGGTGGCATACACCTAATTCCAGCCCTTGGGCCCAGGTGGAGGGTTGCTGTGAGTTTAAGGGCTGCATAATGAGTCCAAGGCCAGCCTAAAGTATATAGAAAGAGCTTTTACTGTTAAAAAACAAGCAAAAAGTAACTCAAAAGCTAAACTGTAAAAACAACTCAAATATCCATCAGCTTGTAAATGACTCAATGAAATAAATATTCACACAGTTAAATATTATTCAATAAAAAAGGTGTGAAAGGTTGGGCATGGTGGCACTCGTCCATAATCCCTGCACTTCTGAGACTGAGGCAGGAGAACCACAAATTTGAGTCCAGAATGAGCTATATGGTGAGTTCAAGGTCACCCTTCAAGTAAGACCCTGTCTCAAAAAAAAGAGTGAAATACTGATATACATTACAACCTGGCTGAACCTTGAAAATATTATGCCATGAAAGAATCCAGTCACAGAAGACCACAGTGTTATATGATATATTATGAGTAAACCTTGAAAACATAGGTATGTAAAAAGATCACATAGTATATGATTCTCATTGTCTGAAATGTCTAGAAAATGTAAATCTGTAAAGAGTAAATTAGTAACTACCTAGGGCAGGGAGTTGGTGCGGTTAAAGGGAAATGGCATTTGGCTCCTTAAGAGTATGTAGGGTTTTAAAATTGTGATGGTTGTACAGCTTTCTGAATATACTAAAAATTGGGTGAGTTTTATGGTATGTGAATTATACTTTAATAAACTATTAACCAAAATAGTAGCTTGACTCCATTCTATTAGTTTGTGTAGCTGACTGCTGCTTTCTTCCTCTTGCCCCTGCCTCTTTTCTCCTTCCCCCTCTGACCTCCCCCTCCTCCTTTGTTGTTGTGGTCATTGTCCTGAGGATTAAATACAGGGCCTTTGCACTGAGTTACATTCCAGCCCTTTTTTAATTTTTTGAGATAGGGTCTTGCTAAGTCATTAAGTTGCCCAGGCTGGGTTGAATTTGTATTCTCTCTGTTTTAGCCTCCCAGAGTGCTAAGATTAAAGGTGTGTGTCACCACGCCCATCTGTGACTGCTACCTTTCATGCCTTAGTAGAAAACTGAAAGTGTCCTGCAAAGAATAAAGTTTGTGTCAGAGAGAAGGTGGGCAGCAGACATAATTGAAGGCCAGCTCTCCAACAGAAGACACTTGAATTAAGTGATAATGCTCAATATTGGTATTCTTTTTGTTTTGTTTTGTTTTGGTTTTTGGTGCCGGGGATTGAACTCGGGTCCTTGTGCTTGTGCAGCAGGGAGTGAAACCACTGAGCTAAATCCCCAGCCTCAAATATTGGTATTCTTATTGAGACTTCTCCTGTTTGGCTCCCAGAATTCAGGTAATTAATGGGAATTAAGAGTATGCTTCTCTTACTAGCTCAGAAGGAGAACTAAGTTATTCACAACAGCTTTTAGATCTCTCTTTTAAATAAAAGGCTGTTAAGGATCACTAGACACGAGGAAAGCATTTCATTTAAGAATTCAAAGCAAGTAGAAAAAAAGAATTTTGAGCAATCAGAACAAGAGCCTTTCAAAGATTACAAGAGCAAAAGCAAAACATTGAATGAAAGGATGAAAGTTAAAATAGAGATCTTTCATAAATTATAAGATGGAAAATATATAGATGAGGAAAGATAAATTATCAGTCTAAGCTTCCAAATAAACGAAGTGCTAGTGAGAAAACAGAAAAGAGAATTATTGGTACGATATTCAAGAAAAATTCCCTAAATTGAGGATCATGATATTGTAGATTGAAGGCTCCCTTGAGTGCTCTGGAAAAATGAATGAAAATAAATATGCACTTATTTTGGGCAGGGGGGAAGAGCTTCACATTAAACCCAGGGTCTGACATATGCTATGCAAGTGCTCTGGTATTTACTATAAATTAGAGTCTAGTGGGCAGGGGGTTTAGCTCAGTGATGCTGCTGCCTGCCTTGCAAGCACAAGGTCCTGAGTTTGAACCCCGGTACCAATAAATAAATAAATAAATAAATAAATAGAGAAAAAAAAAGAAAAGAAAGAGTCTAGTCAGGGACATGAAAATCAAACCACTTACAATCTAATACAAAGAGGTATTTAGCCAGATCTTATAGTTTGGATTGTGTCCTTTAAAAAGGTATGGTGAAGTCCTAATCATCAGCACTTAGAATGTGAGCTTATTTGGAAATAAGAGTCTTCACACAGGTAATCCGTGCCCTAATCTGGTATGACTGGTGTTATTTTTTTAATAGTGCTGAGGATTGAACCAGGGGCCTTCACACTCATACATTCCCAGCTCTTTAAATTTTGAGACAGACTCTTGCTAAGTTGCCCAGGTTGGTCTCAAACCTGTGATCTTACTTCAGCCTCCCAGAGTGAGGCAACCATATGCCACCTGGGAGTATAGTCATAATGCTGCCATGCCCAGCTGGTATTCTTTTTGAAATTTTTTTTTTTTTTTTTGGTACCGGGGATCAAACTCAGGACCTTGTGCTTGCAAGGCATGCAGAGGAACCACTGAGCTAAATCCCCGGCCCCTAGCTGGCATTCTTTTTAATAAAGGAGAAAATTTGAACACAGAAGATCAGGGAAAAGACTTCCTTCTACCAGAAGCTAGGAAGGAGTCTGGAACAGATCCTTCCCAAACATCATCTGAGGAAGTATGGCCTTGCAAGTACCTAAGTTTTGGATGCCTGGCCTCCAGAACTAAGAAATAAATTTTCTTTTCTTCCAATGATAGAGTAGCCCGGAAAACTAATACACTAGATAACTGGAAAAGGCAATTACGGAACATTGAAGTATCACAGAGAAAGTCCAGGTAATAGTAGGAAGTAATTACTAGTCCTAGGGCTGAAAGCACAAAAAAAGAGTTTGTTATTCTTAGAACTTGGAAGTTTGAAGAATGGTCCAGAGGGGCTAAAACTCAAACATCTGAGGGGCAATTGCTGATTGGTCCTGAAGGAAAGGTGTCCTAGGAGATGTGACGAGATTGGCTCTGGACAGTGCCAGGAAAATCACAAAGAAGAGTAGTTTTGAAGCTGAGGGAACAGAAGCTTTGAAGACAGCACACACAGAGAAATATATTGCTGAAATTTTGGAATATGTGGGGCAAAGAGGATCATGTAAACTTCTGGGGAGGTTATATTACAGAGATTCAATATGCTTACAAGATAGGGGACAGTTTGAACAGTGCCCTCAAAATCTTTATTATGAAAATGATTCTTAGGCTGAAATTCTTTACCAAACTATTAAATATACATAACTCTAGAATGAAGACAGTTTCCAAATATTTTTCTTATTCCCTTTTCTAGAAAGCTGTTGTGTGATTGCTACCAAAAGGAAGGAGTAAACTTGAATGAAAGAACAGAGAGAGACAAAGGTAATCCCTACTGTGTTAGTAAAGAGAATTCCCTGAATGTTAAGTTATTGCCAAAGAGAGTGTAGATGTGAGCAGATCAGAAGGTTCTGCTAAAGTTTCATGACAGTGAAATTAATAGAGTATCTGACAGGAAATTTCAGAATTTGTAGTTGAATTAGTGATGTATTTTATTTGCTTAGTTATTAAATACAGGTTTTAGAGCTTCATTCTGAAGTTCATTTTTGTATTTTCCCTTAGGTGATACTGTTCATTCCTATGATTTATTTATTTATTTTTGGTACTAAGGATCGAACTCAGGACCTTGCACTTGTGAGGCAGGTGGTGGCACCACTGAGCTAAATCCCCGGCCTTATTCCTATGATTTTTTTTTTTTTTTT